TATATATATATATATATATATAAAAAATATATATATATATATATATATATATATATATATATATATATATATATACTTGCACAGAAATATCTGTGTCGAGAGTGTGTTTGTTTTATACAATAAACATCGTTACTTTAAAACTCTTCGCGTAGCCCGTCATCATTCCCTTCTCGATCAGCACATCCTAGATTGATCGATCGATAAATTATAACCGATCGTGCGCTATTTAAAGACCATTACACATTTTCTTTTCATTCCTTTCTGATTTCAGTTTACGCATACAATTATACGATTAAACAACCGGTTGCATTGTTACATGCGCATAATCTATTGCCTTCAACTTTCATTGCTATTATGCTCATTAGTGATGAGCAAGAAGTGACAATGAAAAATTAAAAAATTACGTTTCCAACTTTGTTGTCTAACACCTCAAAACAATTTAAGCCGATTCGCCAAATTTTAAAAAATTTATGTATCTCGCTTTAAAAATTACATACTTACTTTTGCTCTTTACTGTATGTAACTGCGTAACGTATTGTGTTTAAACAGAAATTTGTGTTGCTTCATTGTATCTATGCATATCCCGTTTGCAGCGTATCAACCATAACTTGAGGGTCTGATATGTTGTGAATATAATCAATTTTTAAATATTTTTAAATAGCATCATTCCCTCCATAGAACATGCAACACATAGATCCGGTATTTGATCTCAGATTAGTGCCCTTACAATTTAAAAATTACATTGATTTCGATCCTTTATGTTGATTCTTTTAACATCGCTAGTACTATTTGTATGAATACTGGTGTCATGTAATTTGACCTTTTCAAATCAAAGTGCATAGTATTGGTTTGATTAATTAATTTTTAACTGGACTCAACAACGACGTTAAATGCGATTCGAATTGATCCGTGAGTCTTCTCTCTGAGTATAGTTTCGTGCACCATGACCACGGACGTAACACATGAGAACGAATTGTGTCAAGTTTCTCGCCGCTGTCATTTGACGAAGTTTCCTTAACCATCGTGTTGGATTTATTTTCTACCTGGCTTCGAAACAGTTTAATTAGTTTTTAATCGTTAGGTATGGCAGATACGACCGTGGACGCGACACGCCGTTTAAATGTTAAAAAACAGACCCTAGACGACGCTTATGCAGCGCCTGCAAATTTCCTCGAGATTGACGTGATTAATCCAATCACACACGGCGTTGGCAAGAAACGGTATACCGATTATGAAGTTCGCATGAGGGTAAGTAAAATTTCTTTCGTTTGACAGACTTATTCAACTTTGTTGATATCGTGATGGATTAGAACAAAATACCTTGGTCATTTCATCTCCTGCGACGATATTCTTTTTTACCGCTTAAATGTAAGGCATCGCATATTATTGTCGAAGAAAATACACTGACGTGGACTTAAGATTACAAATTTAATCGAATTACATTCCGTCACGAATTCATAAATCGTTTAACTAATATGCACATTTACGATTGTCTTCTTTCCGTTAAAAATTCTGTACTGCAGTTGATGCACGCGCCCGATCGCAATATTGTCAATTTTCCGTCTTTAAATGTCATCTATCAAGCATCTTTCTAGTGTTTGATGTTATTTTTTAATACATAGAAGATTAATAAGATTCGGATATGTTGTAATAATGTCATTAGGTTCATCAATCGAATGTATCATGGGCAGTGTCTGTTATCTTACTTTAGGTGATAAAAAAGAACAGATACAAAAATTTATGTGATGCTCGGGTCCATTTATAGAATTCTAGATTAAATTGTACGAAAGATTCTGTAAACAGTAATTACCATAAGTAATTCATGTTTTACTTCAAATTTGTATCTAACAATAATCTAGTATTAATTCTGTATCTTTGTTTTGACTGCTTTAAGATAAAGTCACTTATAAATTTTAAGTCTTGTACAAAATGTCAAGTGAACCATTACTATGAATCATACATTTTAAATGATGCAAAATATATATTCCTTTAATCTATGATAGTCAATAAAAGAAGTAATGAATTGTTTTATTAATGGCTATAACAATTATTTTCTGTTTTTGTTCAGACAAACCTACCAGTTTTTAAAGTTAAAGATTCTACAGTAAGGAGAAGGTATAGTGACTTTGAATGGCTAAGGAATGAATTAGAAAGGGATAGCAAGGTCAGTTGATAATTTCAATAACATTTATTATTTGATATAGAATGTAGGTGTTCAAGGATTTTTTGTCATTTTAAAAATACATTTTTTATTTTTATAGATTGTAGTGCCTCCATTACCAGGGAAGGCCTGGAAACGCCAGATGCCTTTTCGAGGAGATGATGGTATTTTTGAAGAAGATTTTATTGAAGATCGAAGAAAAGGCTTAGAGGAATTTGTTAATAAGTATGTATATTCGTAGCATGAAAAGCTATAGCTCGTTACCGCAGTTTGTATTTTTAGTTTAAATAATAAATAACTTATTTTTTCAGAATAGCAGGACACCCACTAGCTCAGAATGAAAGATGTTTACACATGTTTCTGCAAGAAGCTGTAATAGACAAGAACTACGTACCTGGAAAAATACGTAATACATAGGTTACAATAAGATTCATTGCAAGTATATTTTCCTCCCCACCTTCAATATTTAAAGTCATATTTGACTATGTTAAAAATTTATTCTAGAATTTTGTAAAGGATCCTTCTGTATTTATATGCAATATTTAATCGAGCTTTCAATGCTGTGATGTCAAATTACAAAACTTGTTTCTTTGGAAGTAATTGTGTTTAAAACTTTGTGTATTACATACTCAGAAGGATCTAGGTGTCATCGTAAATCACTGAAACAGTGTGATANAAAGTCATATTTGACTATGTTAAAAATTTATTCTAGAATTTTGTAAAGGATCCTTCTGTATTTATATGCAATATTTAATCGAGCTTTCAATGCTGTGATGTCAAATTACAAAACTTGTTTCTTTGGAAGTAATTGTGTTTAAAACTTTGTGTATTACATACTCAGAAGGATCTAGGTGTCATCGTAAATCACTGAAACAGTGTGATA